GGATATTTATAGATATGTTAAAAAAAAATCGAATATTCAATTTTTCACGGATCAAACCGGATATTCGCAGATATTTAAAAAAATTCAGATATCCGTTAACAGATCGGATCGGATCAGAAAATCAAATATCTGTTTTACATGAAGCGGATCACGGATTACTAAATTTTTCAGGATTTTCGCTCCGTATTGAAGCCTAACAAAATTATGTACCGGATTCAAGCAAGTTGAATCGACATAACATGAAATAATCAATTATCATCGTTCAAAAATTATATTTATAAAAAAAGTCAGGTTGTAGAAAATTCTACGAAATCATACGTTTATAATTTTTAGCTACTACATAATTAATAACTTAGATCCAAGTAATAAATTTGTTTCAACCCTTTATAATTTTCTGTTTTATCTAAACTGATTAATTACTAAGCTAATGAAACAAGCTAAACCAACCGTGAACCGATTCTAACCAACATTCACCACCGGTCCACCGCACGTGTCAAATTCTCGTGCTACGTTTTTGTTGAATTTCTATTGTGTCGTCTCTTACTGTTTTGTTTGATCTTTCAAATCCAAACATTTGCACGAATTTTTGTTCGTCCTCAACATGAAGATCATTCTACATTTAAGCCTTTTCAAGCCAATTTCGAAGATTCACACAAGTTTTTGGTTTTCTTTTGTTCATTTTCTCTGGGAATTTACCACTGAATCGAAGCAGTTCTGTGTAAATTATCTCAAACGGATAATGCACATAAGGTGTTCGACAGAATTCCCCAATGACGCAAAATTGGTTCTCTGTTTTTGTTTATTCAAAGCCTTTGTCACGTGTCTCTCACGTGATAAAAGCCAGACTCTTGGTCTCCTTACTGTTATGTTCGTTGATCTTCCCGCCTCTAAATTTTCTCTCTAAACCAAAAGAAAAAACCTTTCGAGAACAAGAAAGCGAAAGAATCTTGAGAATCGTCGCTATGGAGGAGGAGACTCTTCTGATGACTGATGATGAAGGCGTAGATCTCTTCGCAAAGGCTAAAGAACTCTTCGCGAAAGGAGATCACATACATGCATTGGAGATCATCGAAGATTTGATGTTAGTCCACACGGAAGCAAAGGAATCATCACTTCTTCATCTCGAACAAGGTAGAATGTTCATAAAACTAAAGGAACGAGCAGAGAATCCTGACGTTGCATTCGCATACATGTTGGCTGCTGTTGAATGCTTTTGGGAAGATCTCACGATTTCTGGAGTTTGTGCACATGGAATCTACGATTTAGCAAAACAGAGTGGGTCAGTATTGTATTACAAGAAATTCTTGAAGAAAGCAAAACATGCTTTATCTCTAACTCAAGGAGACGACGCGGATCCTGTTGCTGTAAGGACTTTGAGAGAGAAATTAAAGGAACAGTGGAAGGGACTGAAGAGTTTAATCAAAAATGCAGAGCTCAAGATCGCTGAATCCAAGACTTGTCCTATAAAGAAATGCGAGTCAGAGGTTTTGAAGTCAAAGGCAAGTCCAAACCCGGTTACCAATGAGAACAAAGGATTGTTGGGGACGAGTTGGTCGGGAATGGATACTAAGAGCAAAAGGGACTTTTTGAAAGTAAACATTGCGGAGCTTTTAAGATTTTCCGAGGGAGCAGAGAACAGAAAGGATTTGGAAGAAATTCTCACTTCTGCTAAGGAAGACAGAAAATGGATATTCTGGATGTGTCGAACTTTATGTTCGAAAAAGTTTTCTAGTGCTGAAGAATGTATGAATCATCTTGAGGAAAAACATGATGCAGATTTTAAACCTTCTTCAGAAATGGATATGGTCAAGAAGGTAGGGAAAGACTGGGCTCGTAAGATATGGCCTGGAGCTTGGGAACCACTGGATGCAGTAGCTGCAGTTGAAATGATCAAGAACCCGCTTGCAGATGTGAAAACCTTTAAATCTAATAGTGGATGGTCCAAAAAATGGCCTTTAGCTGTGGACGAAGAGCGCAGTAAGTTACTCAAGGAAATCAAATCGCTCCTTGTGTTGATTCGTGACCATAAAATTCTCTCCTCTAGCATTCGAAGCTGGCTGATAAGTTTTCCGGTTAGACAACTAGGAAAACTTGAAGTTTCTGAACAGACTTTTGATGATTTTCATCTAGTGAAAACTCCTCAGAGTATCTGTTTTTTGGAATGTCATGACCTCATTCACATCCGAGACTTTCTGAAAAATATTAAGTGTGAAAGGGATGATGGTACAGATCTGGTTTCCAGAGCAGTGGACAGTTTCTTGGATCGTACTCGAGTTAAAGAAAAGATCGACTTTGACCCTGAGTTTTCAATTCTGCTTCTGGATAAAAGACTGTTGAAAAGCACTGATGCTCCATTCGATGATGAAGGGGCCGTCGATGTTTTTGATCCTGAAGTTCACTACGCCAAGGCTCATGCTCAGGGAGATGATTTCATATCCTGGTTAGTTGGCTACTCTTCAGTAGATAGGATCTTTGCCAGACCTATCAGGGAACACAATCTTGATATCTGGGTGGCTGTTCTGAGAGCTGTTCAGTTCACATGTAGAAATTTGGGAACCAAATATGCAAAGAAACTGCAGATCATAGATTATGCTGCAGCTCTTACTGTCGTCGAGAACTTGTGTATTAGCGAAGATGAAAGAAGAAGGAATCTTCAGGAAGATCAATGGAACAGATATGCATCTCTTCTGTGCGATAAATGTGAAGAGAGTGTCCCCGAAAATTCCCTCAGTGCAAAATTACTCTTGTGTGCTGTACGAGATGTTCTCCAAGGAGCATTGCATCCGACATATGATTTCTCAGAAGATTGCATGAATTTCATACGTGAGCGTAAAAGTGTCAGTGATGATATTGTGTTGAAGTCCATACATCTTCTTAAATCAGTGGTCACCCACAAGGTTCTTTCATGATTTGAATATATATTAGCAGAGTAACATAAATTGTCCATCTAAAAGTATCTACATGACTTGCAGGTTCTGCTAATTGATTCAAAGATTTTGCTGATTGATAATTCAAGGATTAGATTGCTTAGCAACCTCACCAGGCTTTCTGTTTTTGACAACCGCACTTATATGCTTAGAATGCTGAAACTTTTCTTGATGGTTGGTTTGAAACTTTTGTTATATATAGAGAGCTTTCATTTGCCGTCTGATTAGGT